GAGCACTGGAACTTTTTCACGGTGGGGAATCTTGGACCCTCTTTTCTCCTTTTCTTTTTCTTTTTTCCCTTCTTTCCCTTTTTTTCCCTTTCATTTTGAGTCTTGACACAACTGATCTTTAAATGAAACCATAATCATAATATGACTAAATGTTGTTTGGAACATGGCAACACTGACTCGCGGATCAACTATTGCGAACCATGATTTCTGTATTGCAAATGGAACCACTATGTATAGATAACCAACAGAAGAAGAGAAAGGGTTGCGTACAAGCTCGAAACCTTGGATCACAATCCTTTTTGGCCTTCAAAAACGACCAGGAAGACGCCGATGAACTCTGATCTCGGAACAACTGCAAAAGCACGCTTTAACTGCTCAGCCAAGGAAAACCTTAGATGGCTCATGAACACTCCAGCTTACCAAGACACTGTTTGAGTTCGCTAAACGGATGTAAAAGTCCCCGTATGCGGCGATGCATGACGTAGTTCTCAGCCTAGGTATTAGTCAAGCATGTCTCAACGTCACTCCGCACTTTCAGTTCCTGATCTGCATCGTCGTCCAATCATTCAACCAGGATCCATGATCTAATGATGAGACTTATATGAGCCAAAAAAAAATAATTGTCGGCAATGTTGAGAGGAGTGATCATTGTTGTATCAAAGTTTGATTCGCTCACTATGGTGTAACACTGACAGGCATGAAAAGCCTGAGTTAAACACCGAAACAAATGAACAAACATGATATGCATGTAAAGGTAAAAATGACAAAGGAAGATCTTCAAACGCCCCCATTAACGGTTCCATTAGCCAAGACCTCCTGTTGTTTTATACCCAACGCCAAGCACCATTAGGCTACCAAATAGTGAGCCCTGGGGAAAAAAAAAAAAAGAGAAAGCCTCCCACAGTAGACATGACCTAGACTGGAAATGAGATGAGGAAAAAGACACTGTACAATATGCGGCGTTGGCCCACTAGATGGACGTTATCTCTGTAGGATTTGGATTCAGAAATTGATTGAAATCCTCGTAGTCACTCTTCGTATCCATAAACGAGGCCGATGTCATGCAGTTTATTGGAATCTGCCGGTTGAACATCGGTGATGATAACTGATCATCGAACGAAAGACTGGTGAAGTCGGAAGCCCCCATCATGTCCATGTCGTCAAAGGTTCCGAAGCTGCTGTTGGGCCATTGCGGTGGACCTTGCAAGGCGATCGGGTTTACTACCCCCTGCATCGACAAGGGGGCAATGTATGCGGGATTATGGGGAGCCATCTGGGGTTCAGGCTTGATCGTCGTTGCCTGGGTACGTGATGCTGGGCTAAGATTTGGAGGCGTGGGAGGAAGTTGATGTCGTGAGAAGGCGTCTGCAAAGCGTGATGTTGTGATGGGCGATTGCGCACTCTCGGAACTGCCATCTGATGAATCTTGCCGTTGCATGTGGCCGGCATTCTGCTTCCACAATTCCTGCTGCATGACCTCGGTGTTCTCCTCGAAGCGTTCGCCTTTAGTTTGATCGAGAGCGCCAAGCCGTGTGAGTAGATCATGCGTCAGAGGGTGACCGTTTGCTTCGCATTTCAACGGTTCTCCCGGCCAGCCTTCACCCTCGCTGGAGCGTCGATATAGTTCCTGAAGACCATACACCAGCCAAGCTTGTTGCTGCTCCAACATCTCAACGTACCTGAAAGCGAGACATAGATTAGCATTGTTAATGTTCGACCCTCTCCGCATGCAAGTTGCCAAAGGTGCAAGCTCACCCCTTGGGGTACACTTTATCATGGGCCTTCTTCCTCTCGCCAAAGACGCAGATGGCATTGTCTGCCCTACACCGTCCACATGGATTGGCGCCGTCACACTGCACTGGGTCAGCGCTTCAAAGCGCGCTGATGCTTGCTTCTGGACCATGGCCTGCTTACCTTTGATTTCTTCAATCTACATCGATCGCACGCCTTGCACACCCTCTTGCGAACATTGCTGTCCGAATGTGAGTGGTCCGATGTGGGTGACGATTGACGTGCCGTCATTATGTGGTATAGGAAGTATCAACTAAGTAAGATGCCGTTGACACCAACGAAGGCGCGTGCGATTGTAGGGCAACGCCAATCAAGACTGATCGAACGAAAACTATATCCGGCTATTTTAGACCCCTACTTCCCGGGGTAAGAACAACAGCAATGGTCGTTGAAAGGTTGAAGGACGGTCAGGTCGGTCAATGATATGACGGACTGGTCGAATGGTGGGGGTAAAGAGCTTAAGTAAAGCCAGTCCTAACAGCCAACAGAGGAATGAAGATGTAATGGAGGGTCGGACAGAACTGGATGGACCCAAGGAAGTGCCAGTAAAGGTTGCAGCGATAAGAAGACAGTGGATTATATAACACAAGGGTCTGGAGCTGCTGGTTGTAGGCAGTTATCCACTGATCCAAGGTAAAGTAGTAGTAAGTAGGGTAAGGTAGTAGTAGTAGTGGTAGTAGTATATACTAATAGAGCAGAGGAGCTATGAAGGAGGGAGGACCGACAGCTTTTTAACTAGATTCTGAGGTGATGATTATTATTATTGGGAAGATTATGATTAATACTTGAGATATTTCTTGATTATTCGAAATTTCTAAGGGAATGAGTAATATTTACTTTTTGTGATTAGCTTCGAAGGTACCAATTGGCAGTAATCATCCCGAAGCTGCGTCGAACATCTACAGCAAGGCAGGGCAAGGTAGTAGTGTATCCGTTCTACTTGACGCAGCGCCCAAGACTCCAAGAGACCCAGCAGGGCCCAGTAGGCCCAAAAGGGAAATACTATGGATCTACTAGTGATCGTTTGACTTTGCAATACATGGTAATACGAGGCAGTGGCTCGGGGACTTGGTGTATCATAATCCGTACAGAGTACTGTACGAGTAGCTATTCATCGATGTTAAAGTATCGGCCTATTCACACTTACCTTAGTATTGATATTTAATCCAGGCAACAAACAAAATAAAATAACGAAAGCTATTCTGTATCTTCATCAAGAACAGCCAATCAGATTATAAAATCTTTGTGAGGCATACAGAATGTACCTAAGGCAGATGCTGAAATACTTTACCTTACATCGCAAGAAATTTCGGGTACAGAACAACTGGTATCCGTTTATGATACAGTATTCGGAACCGGAGACTTGAATCGGGCCTCGGAGATGTCCCGGGCAAATGTCTCCTTGATTTCAAATTTCCTCTTACGGGCATTTGCTCGTCTCACTGGTTCTTGCAATGCTCTTTTATTTTATTTTATTTATTTTCTTTTTTATTCCCTTTCTCAGTAAGCAGTCAATCCATAACCTGACAGGATTTTCGGAAGATACAGTAAAAGCAATTCCGTATATCCGAGTCTAGTTGATCATCAGCTCTACCATCAGATAACAAGAATACGGAGAAATGCAGAACCCTCTGTTAGAATAGATACATTGACTCTTGAGGTAGAAAACACAGGATCAATTCACCGATATTGATGATGCCTAACTCTGTCATGATCGCACACTTCTTCAGGTACATCAAGCGCTCTTGTATCAACATTACAGCGTACTGGGCGTAGGCGCATAAATATGGCATTACTATTATACTAAAGGTGTTCATAAAGCGGGTTCTCATTCTCGAGTCTTCTTCTCGGCACATGGCTGCCGATCGTTTGTTCTCTCACCTGGACAACTCTCAACTGCTTCGGCGATCAACATGGTAAACCAACTAACTAACTAACTATATGCGTCTTCCGCTGAATCATCGATTCGAGGTCACAAGCTCCCTTCTGGATCTGCAGACACTTCCTCATTAAAAGCTTAGCGGCAGACCGGCTCTAATCCCTGTACGGAATAACTAGTCCGTAGTATGCACTTCGTTGCGAGCACAATTTCAGGACATAGTCTGCTTCCCCTGCCTCATGATACTACGGGGTAAGATAATACACGAGACCGAGGGCTACTCGCCGAGGTGTCCTAGCTTGACCTCCATCTACCTAGTCATGATATATGTTCTATCGTTCTATTGCCTATCTAGTCTGTTCGCGGAAATCAAAGCCGTCTTAGTGGCTTCTCAGTCAATGACGTTGACATCATGGATGGAATTCCGTCTATCACTGATCATGTCATGACTGCTGTTGATGATTCGCCAATGCCCCTTTACAGGTCAAACTGTCTATGAGCATGGGTTAGGTTTGTTTCGGTATTCCGAATCCGCGGAGGACCAACCTAGAACCTCCTTGCCATTTGGGAACAGCCAATTGCAGCAGGATGACCCATCGACCAGAGTCGACATTACCTTTACCTACTGAGGGCTGCGTGCTGGATGCTGACTTCATGTTTGCGCCACACGTCCAGGATCTCCGAGATAGAGTTTTTAGCTTGCAATCAGTGATGATCGATGATTCGGACATCTTTTTTTTTTAATGTCGCGCTATTTGCATATCCTGTTATTTTCAATTGCCACATGATATCTCCCTGGCCTAGGACGATCAATAATCCTGAATTTCTACGCTTATCTTATCGAACGTTGATGTCAGATAGATGATGGAAGGTCCACCATTGGATTGGCCAGACTCAAGGTGCGTATCTCCTTGTCCTCAGCTGGGTGTAGGTATGTAGCCTTGTGTTGATCGGAACCACAAGCCGTTGACCCACCGGGGTAGAAAATCGCTCGAGTTGCGTGACAGTTGCACAGGAAATAAGCTTGACTCCAGCAAACTAAACTTGCTTGGTTACCCCTGCTTATGCCGAGGTTGGTCGATTAATGACTGACTTCATTCTTTCGTGACCGATGCTGCGTTGGCACAAACACCGAGTCATCTGGCCTATCAACACTGTACAAAAAGTGCAAAGAAATGGGGAATATGGATGTCCAAGGAATTTATTCCGAATACATGATCAAGAATGGAAAAGCATCGCCGGTCCACAGGCGGATGACCAGGGTATAAAGAAAAAAGAAGATAAGAAAAGAGATAAAGGAATGATACAATCGAAAGGATAATTATGTCACTCAGCAGCAAAGCAGGCGTCTCCATATACTTGGTTTGTCGGGTTCCCCTTTCGATACCACCGCTTCGCCTTTGGACTCGCCGGTCTGATCTTCTGGCTTGGGTGCAGCACGCTTACTGCTCTTGTTTCCGAAGATTGAAAGCCGGCTGAACGGGGACCTCGCATCTTTGGATGGCTTAGCGGCGATGGTCTCATCGGCCGTCTGCTCGGCAGGTTGTTGCGTAGTTGCAGACGCTGTGGCCTGACCAGGATTCGCTGTCGCCTGGTTCTGCTGGTAATGTAGTCGACGAGCTTCGATAACACGACGGACGATGACTGCGATGGCGTCAGATCAATAGACTGTCTCACATGGACAGCCTTAATACTGCCAGAGGAGAAGTTACATACGGGCAAATGTCTCTTCAATGTTCACCATATCTCTCGCGCTTGTCTCCATGAACCCACAACCATGCTTGCGGGCATATTCGAGTCCCTCCCTAGCAGGGATGACGCGATTTTCTTTGAGGTCGCACTTGTTGCCAGCGATGATCTTGACCGGAGGAGGCATGCCGACTTCCACGCCGCGTGCGCTGTCCCCCAGTTCCTTCAATAAGCGAGCATTGTCTTCCGCGCGTTGCTCTGCCTCGATATCAATCAGATCCATGAAGTAATCCAATGCGCTCAGGCTCGATGCATTGGTGATGTCGTAGACGAGCAGAAACGCGTCCGACCTCAGGTTGGAGAGCGCAAACAGCCCTCTATATTCCTCCTGGCCGGCAGTATCGGTGATGGATAAGAAATATGGAATGCCATCAATCACGCGTGTTACCGAATAAGAATCTTCTATTAGTCCTCCGAGGAATCAAGATGGGCGTTAGAGAAGATCACGCGTCGACAACGGAAAGAGAATTGAAGGTCAGGGTACGGGTACTGCTTTACCGATGGTAGGGTCATATCTTTTTTAAGGTTGTCGCGATATGTCAGTCATTTTCGTCTCTCGCGTTATGATTTGTTTCAAGGGGGATACTCACTCGTGGACCCATTGGCTCCGCACCAGTCGCAAAGTGATGGACGATTTACCTATCAACCACGGCAGATTAGTGTCAACCTTTGTCGACAGGAAGCTATTCCTCTCGCTGTCCAGGCGAGAGCATCGCGAAATCTTAAGCAATCTTCACTGGCAAAATAAGTGGAAAAACATACCGCATCCGCCATCGCCGCAAATTGTGATGGAGATTTTGTCTGGCTCGGCTTCCATTGTGTCTTGCACTGTATGCTGAAATAGATGCCGAATTTTTAGTGTCAATAGAGGAGATGTTTAGCGTGATATATCAAGGATGCTGAGAAAAGGCCGTCTGGGCGCTGAGCAAAAACAAGAGGTAGGTAGGTACATAGAATCGCAATCTCTATGGATTGATGATTGAGCGAGAGGGCCAAAACTGAGTGAATATCCGCATTGAAGCTTCTTCTGTTGCAATATGCCTAAGAGGAGACTTGGACCTCGACTCCTGAGACGAGCGATCAAAAGGAGAGACGCCGCCAGAGACGGCGCGACGCCAAATTTCCCTTTTAGGTGTTTGATGGCCATCTGCAATTTCCACTTATCTTATCAGGGATCATACATAGGATATGCTTATATAGGAGCGTAAGTATGGGGAGAATATTACTGTCGCATACGAGTGGTCTACTCAAGAAGGTGACGGATGGCCTGGGGATACTCTGATAGTACATGTCTACTCCCACTTGCAGCAAGGTCGACATGGATAGACACTACAGAGGACAGAGAAGCTTGTAGTAAAACCTCAATCAATGACCAAGCTCTTCACAAGTATTACATACATCCTCTCGGGCACTTCAATCTCAACCGGTTCTCGAAGAGCTCTGGGGATTCGTCGTTTTCCTTTTGGAATATTTAGTTACATGATATTTTGCCTCCTCAACTGATCTGTCACACTCGAGTTCGATACGTCAAGTTGATCAATTTGAGTTCACTCTCTCCGTGTCTCTGCTCATTGGCAGTCTGCAGTCATTCTGTTCACAGAAACAGAATGAATCCTCATACTGCCTCAACATATGTACTTGGCCCCCAGTCTTATTCGATGAAAAGTACGGAATCTACATCCGTCCATCCACCGCTGAGCATTTTCGTCTGGACGGTCGCTTCATCGCTTCATCTCTTGGATACCTTATAGGTACTCCGCATATCTTTCCTCTGCTCCTCCTCTGCTCTGTGCGGTTACTAATGTATAGCCAATTCTCCTGTTGTGATCTTCAAGGTGAACCTTTCTTCAATTCCCTTGGTGATTTCTTGTTATTATCATGGCCGTCTTCTGAGTCGGACTCCGCTTTGCTTCTTTTAGTGCACACAGGAACTAATCTACTCCCAGATTCCCAGCAACTCCACAGTTGCACCTCCAGTCTGTACATCGTCTATAAATCCCGAATTTCTGCTGCTTGATTCAGACAGAACTTCTGGATTCGCTTACAGGGCTACCAATCATTGGCCCCTGGAGGAATGTCTACAATCGTGGACTAATTTTCGAGGCATCTTCGCTGTGTAGATGCGATCCGCTCATTGGTTAGAACAACCCCCAATCGAATCGATCGAGCATCGCCTTACGTCTTGAGATGGCCAACAACTTCAATAATGGCGACTACTACGGCGATATTCCATTCCCCATGGCTCCTCCCACGACCTCGGGTAGCCAGTCCAACACCTCTCATCCCGCCCTTGACTCTAGCAACGCTGAGATGGCGATGCCATTTGCGCCTTTGGATCCACTCCCGATGGGGAACTTCGCTTTCTCCGGATCTCATGGATCAGATATGCTGTTGACCAGCATGTCAGCCGACGAGCTGCTCCCTTCTAACTCGCCCCGTCTGCCCGCGGCCCCTGCGCCGTTAGCTGACCATTTGTCCAATGCCTTGTTCGTGTATGACCCGCTATCTGGCATGGGGAACTCCGTGCCCATGGCACTGGACACAGCAAGTGCATTTGCCTACGACCCCTCTTCCGTATACCAACAACCCGCCTTGGTGTTCGAACAGACATTCAATGGGCAGCCGATGCATCAACTTTCTTCGTTTCAGAACCAGACCCTGAGCCTAGACCCAACTGCATCCTACTCTACTCCCTTGCAAGCGCATCCATCGAGCAGAACCTCTTACTGGACATCCTCGGTTGATGCGAAAGAAACCTCCAGCATGGCCCAAGCCACGTCCATGGCCGGAAGGTCAACCAACGCTTCGAAATCCACCGATTCTTCACGAAGCCAGCAGTTACCGCAAAGGCGACGCCGGCATCCTCAAGCCCCTACAACACAGGTTTCTTCTCACCGTTACATTCAGCCCAAGAGGCCATCGCCCATGAAAAGTGCATCCTCTTTCTACTGTGTTGCGTGTCGTGCATAAACAGAATGTGGACTGACATGGGATTTCACAGCTTCGATCAAGTCGGCGACCACAGGTGAGACCACTCCTCATAACAGCATATATTCGAGCAGCGGCATCGACATGATGAGTATATTGGTAAGACCCGCTCCGGCTTGCCATCCGACGGCTTGAATTGCTACCATGTGTACAATCTAACTTCAGCTAGGCCGAGGTCGTCTCAAGACCCGACCCCAAGATTGACATCGGCGCTGTTGATTTGTCATGTGCATTTGCATTGTGCGACATCCACCAGGAGGATCATCCTATCATTTATGTATCGGAGGCTTTTGTGCGGCTGACCGGTTACACTGAGGAGGAGGTTGTCGGCCAGAATTGCCGTTTTCTTCAGGACCCCAGCGGTGTGGTCCAGCAGGGCATGCCCCGGAAGTTCGTCGATCAACATACCGCATTTCGATTGCGGTCTACAATAGAGCACCGTGGAGAAATCCAGGCTACTATCATTAACTACAGAAAGGGCGGTCAGCCATTCATGAATCTGATCACAATGATTCCTGTCCGGTGGAATTCGCCTGATTACCGATTCTATGTCGGGTTCCAGGTCGACCTTGTGGAGAGGCCCGATGCTGTGACAAGCAGAAATCCAGGTGTGTTTCAGATGCTCTCGTCGCACTCCATGACCCAGACTGACCAAATGGGACAGATGGTACTTACATGATCAACTATCAGCGCAAGCAGCTGCCTAATTACGTGGCGCCGCCCGCGGACATCTATCAGATGCACCCGGGCCTTGCCACATACTTTAGTCCCGACCAGGTCTCGACGATACTGGACAACTTGGACACTTCTGACCGGAGCTACCAGCAGTATCTAGACCGCGTTCTAGTCGAGAACACCGATGATGTCATTCATGTACTCTCTTTCGACGGTGAATTGCTGTACCTATCTCCATCTTGTCGAAACGTCCTCGAGTACGATCCAAATGAGTTGATAGGCAAGACACTATCGACAATCTGCCATCCCAGTGATATCGGTCCTGTCATACGCGATCTCCGATCCTGCACCAACTCTGACCCGGTCAGTGTCATCTATCGAGTCCGGACAAAGTATAGCGGGTACATGTGGTTTGAAAGTCACGGCTCGTGGCACATTGGCGACCGCGGCCGGCAATATATGGTGATGACCGGCCGGGTCTGCCCCGTCTATCACCTAGACCAGCTCGTAAACGTTGGCGATGGTCGGTTAGCCGAGAACGATCTGTGGGCCAAGCTCTCAATCTCTGGCATCATTCTCTTCATGTCCTCGAAGGCTCGGCCAGTGCTCGGCCGCGTGCCTGATGATCTAGTCGGTAAAGGAATTCAGGACCTGATCCCAGCCGATGCCCGGCTGGATGCAAAACAGGCTTTGGAGGTGGCTCGCACTGGCCAGCAGACGAGCTTTAACCATAGAATCCGGCACAAAAAGGGTCATATGTTGCAGGCCCAGACCACCTTGTACCCTGGAGACACTAAGGAAGGGGAGGAACCTTCATTCTTGGTCGCGCAGCTGCGTTTCCCCAAATCACCGCCAACTGCTCTCGGGACGGATGAGGTTGTACCTGCAAATATCACCGCTACACTTTCCGGGGACACTGGAGTAACTGGAAGAAGAAACGTCACTGCGGCAGGCCAACCGACTTCCGACCAGTCGGCACTGGTGGGTTCCAACCCAGTGCCATCCGGTGATCAATACGTGCCGGCTCTTGATGAACCAATCCTTTTCGCCGAGTTGAACACAGCACGAGGTTCGAGCTGGCAATTCGAGCTCCGTGAACTGGAGAAACAGAACCGCGCCCTGTGCGACGAGGTCCAGCGCCTCCTTGCCCGGAGGAAGAAGCGCAAGAGAAAGCAGAGCATCGTTCCCGTCGAAAAGACCTGCGCCATGTGTCAGACCCGGACCACGCCCGAATGGCGTAGAGGGCCCAGTGGCAACCGCGACCTCTGCAACAGCTGTGGGCTGCGATGGGCCAAGCAGGTCCGCAATGCGGTACAGAAAAAAGCCCCAGCCACTTAGACTTACTTCTCACTACAATTCGTTCTTGTCTCACGCGATTTATTATACGAACCTCGGTCTGCAAAGCGTTCTGCCTGGTTTCGTTTTCTTGATTTTCGTGCTGTATCTTCGAAGCGGATGGTCTTTCAACAACACATGGATTGGGCTTTTTTTTTTTTTTTCACCAAGCATAGGCGTCCATGGGCCATATATAACGACTACACTATATGACGGGATTAGTTGGGTTTGGGCACGAAGTGAGATGAACTCTTGAATAACGATATGATTTATGATGAGTGTATAGTACGAGATATGTGTTTTCGGGCCGAACCAGCTGGAAGAAATAGAAGTAGCTGCAAAGTTAGGACATTTCAAGGGCAACGCCAGCCCACAACTTATATCTCGGATAATTATTTTCCATAGAAAACAATCAAGCCATGAGAACGATGGGCCTTTCATCGATCCGTGATCTTCTCAAGTAATGGCGGTATCTTTTCGGTCCTAGTCCATATCATGGGCCAGAGATCGTCTATCCCAAGTAATCTACATGAATAAATACAAATTGCAGCAGGCCTTAAGCTCTTTCCAGCCATCGTTGCAACCACCGTCTCTCCTCCCTCTCTGCCTCCCAACACTCCTTGCCGTCCGCAACGCCCACGCCCCCTCGCTCCTCGACCGCAATGCTGACCTCCGCCGCCTCCATGGCCGGGACTCCTCCCCCCTGCCGGATCAACTCATCATCCAGCGCCAGATACTCCACATACCGCCGCAGTCGCGGCCGATACAACCAGGACACCAACGCCGGGGGCCGAGTATGCGTCCGCACGAGCCCCAACG